ATCAAAATTTTAATAGAACGTTGTCGTATCATTTAGATAAACAGTAACATGTTTACCAAATGGATATCTGCCGATTAAAATAAAAACCGTGTTAATTGGTAGACCTACAATACTATTTCGAATTTTAATATTGACTCTGACTAATATGCAACACGGTAATATTGTATGGACGGTCGAGCACCTGTTGCGTTTTAACTTTCGTCCATTAGTAAGATGTAAGAGAATTTTTATCTTGATTAGTTTTGAAGGAAATATTGGTTTTAATCCATTGGGAAAATAAAATACATTTATTTGCATTTTTAAGAGAAATGTTACCTTAATTAATTTTAAAATAAACGAAAGGACGTTCTTAAAATAAAATTCCTAAATTTGCATTTAAAGAATATATTAAAATTGTATAATGTTAAAGTTTCACCTATCCTAGTCCAGATGGTTATTAGATCTATTGTTTAATAGATACCTTGCGCATTACCATAACAACCCTCATAGAAATATTCAGGACCACTTGGCCTTATTTAAGCATTCTCGGAATAATTTAACTACCTTCAGTGCCCATATTTATTCTTATATGTTTTATATTTACCGGTTCCAGTGGTTTGAGATATCCAGTCATTCTTGCCTCCCCCTTCATGATTAGGTCAAGGGCTGGGAGGTTTAGAAGGGTTTACATAGAGGCTATCAGTGTACTTCTCAGTACTCCCGTAATACAAAGGTATGCTAGCCTCTGTACATGTTTTCTCAAATGTCCTTTTCCCTACAATGAGAGATATTTTATATTTGTTGGATCTAGATACTTTACGTGAAGGCTGTCAGTTTCAAAGATATCTTACATTGTTTTCAGAGTAAAGGTTATTATGTTGTATCAAGATGTTTTTCCTAACGCATCCCATTTATGTCAATCTCAGAGCTCTTTGAGTAAATTCGAAGACTATGATTTGGCATTTCCCTTGGATAATAATTTGATAGATCTATCCTTGATAGGTCTATCCTTGTTTCTTCTTAGACGTCATGGCTTCATGACACTCTATCCTTTTTTCTTGGGATTTCTTGGTTTTTCCTGTTTTTTCTTGACTTTTCTTGGTTTTTCTTGGTTTTTCTTGATTTTTCTTGGTTTCTCTTTGTTTTTCTTGGTTTTTCTTGGTTTTTCTTGGTTTTTCTTGGTTTTTCTTGGTTTTTCTTGGTTTTTCTTGGTTTTTCTTGGGTTTTCTTGGTTTTTCTTGGTTTTTCTTGGTATTTCTTGGTTTTTCTTGGTTTTTCTTGGTTTTTCTTGGTTTTTCTTGGTTTTTCTTGGTTTTTCTTGGTTTTTCTTGGTTTTTCTTGGTTTTTCTTGGTTTTTCTTGGTTTTTCTTGGTTTTTCTTGGTTTTTCTTGGTTTTTCTTGGTTTTTCTTGGTTTTTCTTGGTTTTTCTTGGTTTTTCTTGGTTTTTCTTGGTTTTTCTTGGTTTTTCTTGGTTTTTCTTGGTTTTTCTTGGTTTTTCTTGGTTTTTCTTGGTTTTTCTTGATTTTTCTTGGTTTTTCTTGGTTTTTCTTGGTTTTTCTTGGTTTTTCTTGGTTTTTCTTGGTTTTTCTTCGTTTTTCTTGGTTTTTCTTGGTTTTTATTTGTTTCTTTTTTATTTTTCATGTTTTTTTTTTGGTTTTTTTTTTGTTTTTTTTTTTAGTTCTTGGTTGTTCTTGGTTTTTTTATAATTTTTCTGAACTTTTTTTGTTTTTATTGGTTTTTCTTGGTTTTTCTTGGTTTTTGATTTTTCTTGATTTTTCTTGGTTTTCCTTGGTTTTTCTTGGTTTTTCTTGGTTTTTCTTGGTTTTTCTTGGTTTTTCTTGGTTTTTCTTGGTTTTTCTTGGTTTTTCTTGGTTTTTCTTGGTTTTTCTTGGTTTTTCTTGGTTTTTCTTGGTTTTTCTTGTTTTTTCTTGGTTTTTCTTGGTTTTTCTTGGTTTTTATTGGTTTTTCTTGGTTTTTCTTGGTTTTTCTTGGTTTTTCTTGGTTTCTCTTGGTTTTTCTTGGTTTTTCTTGGTTTTTCTTGGTTTTTCTTAGTTTTTCTTGGTTTTTCTTGGTTTTTCTTGGGTTTTCTTGGTTTTTCTTGGTTTTTCTTGGTTTTTCTTGATTTTTCTTGGTATTTTTAGTTTTTTCTTGGGTATTCTTGGTTTTTCTATAGTGAACCTTCCACAGAATGACTTATCTAGAGCAGTGTCTCTCAAACTTTTTTGGCGATGGAACCTTTTGGAAAATCGAAATATTTGTCGGAGCCCTAAACACATTAAAAAAAAAAATAAAAAAAAAATAAAAAAAACGAAAATGAAACAAAAATAAAAGAAAAACGTCCTCAAGCATAATTAAATCCTTCTTCCTCTTAGTGACTTCTAAAAAAAAGTCAAGGTACTTAAGCCAGGTCCCTCCCTTTTGTGTCTATAGCACTGCTTTTTTTTTAATTATGACTATTATTTTCTTCGCGGAGCCCCTACAAAGGCTTTGCGGAGCCCCAGGGTTCCGCGGAGCACCCTTTGAGTAACACTGATCTAGAGCATTTGTATCTATTAACATTCTGATTGTATGCTCGATCCACTCTCTTTTGCAGCACCTGATCTCTTTGTGTTCCTTGTTCCTTATCATCTTCTGATGTTCTATTTTTTTTTTTTCAATACAATTTTGTTGTTATCTAACATAATGTAAATATTTCAAATATTCTATATAGCTAGATTAATAAATAACAGTTATTCATTAAATCGTTCGTATTCATCTACCAACTGAGGTTATCTACTAAATAGTCTTGAAATTAAAAGTTAAATATCTTGAAATCAAAAATTAATTAATTACCTAGAAAATAAAGTCGAGGAGGCTCACATTGCAACATTTTCAGATGTTTTATGAGATCGCCGCGGGTCGTACTTATTATTTCATATTTCATTTATATATTGCAACTTGTAATTTACTTCTTAATAGGCTCATATTTGTCAAAATTATATGGAAAACATTATTTTAGATAAGTTTATTCAGCTTAATTTCACAAAATGTATTGTGTTTTTATTAGTAAACCATTCTATATAAGCTATAAGTAAAGTTGGGAAAAGAGAATATAGGAAATTATTACTACGGAATTTATTTGCAAAAAAATTTGATTGGTCTAAATAAACTTTAAATTTGGTATAGATAATACGACAATTGGCTGAAAATTACTGGTATAAAGGGAAATGTTTAAAAATTATTTGCATGTTGTTTCATTTTCTAATATGTATACTTTCCTCATATTGTTTGGGTGAATTATTGTTTTAGAACGATAATATTCAGCAATATCCTCAGTTTTAGCTGTTTAAAATATTTTTTTTTTGAGAAATAAATCAGACGGTGCTGAATCAACCCAACAAGTATGTGATAACAAAAATTAAAAATTATTCTTAAATTGTGTACCATTTTAAACTAGTTTTCATTTGTTTTTTTTTTTTTTTTTATTTAACGTCTATCTATTTCTTTACAAAGCCGTCATCATAACCTTTAAAAAAAATAATTTAACAATGAGTATATAATGTATAAATTTTAAAATTAACTTACATCTGGTAGATCCTCCATAAAAACCGTTAAAAAATATACTTTAAAACGGTTAGGACCCATCTGTATCTATAACGTGTGAAGGGTGGGTTACCTTACGACAGTTAGGCCTCACTATGCCCATTGTGCATCTTTCCAAGTAGATAGGCACCTCCCAGCTCGTGAGCCTGTCTACAGATTTAATGTAGTTGACAACGTCGCCAAGAGGTGCTTCTCTTATATCGGCCGGTGTTAGCCGATTCTCGTCGAACTCAAATCTTCTAATAAATGATAGTGTCGGGCAATCGTAGAGAATATGCTCGATAGTCTCATCATATTGTTCGCACCTCCTGCAGCCCCATGATGTGAAGATGGTTCTGTATTTGGCAATGACCAGTCAGAATGCCTGTGCTCAGGCGCAGATTCTGTCTAGTAATAGTCAAGTATTTATTTACTGTAGTATTGTCAGAATAACTAAAAAGCTCCTTGGCAATTCTGTAGTGTCTTGCTTCATTTGATCTGTCTCAGAATTTCACAAGGAAATGGTCTTTAATTAGGTCTGTTGTCAGTCCCATAGAAGGCCCAGTTTAAAAAAAGTATTTGGTTGGCTGCCTTCTTGGCTAGTTAATCAGCACGATAGTTACCTTTGATCAATCTTTAGGTGACCACAGTGTTGATGGATGCTTCGGGCGAGTAGTACTTGTAGATGAGCATGTTTCTTCCAGTATTATTTTTACTGGTGATTTCTTTTGTTACTAGGAGAATCCGCGTTAGCTCGGTTTGAACTACACTGGTACTATTGCTCATACCCCATTTTATTTTAAGGTTTAAGGATCTGGATCCACCTCCTGAACCTTATTTTGTTTTAGAATCATCGATGTAGATATGAATCGTACCTACCACTTTTGGTTCTTTCATTTGTTTTAACTTTATATGGCTTATGGAAGACATATCTCGGAGAGATGTCGTCCATGTTCGCTTGAAGCAATGGAAGTGCTAATTCCAATAGAACTCTTAATGGAAAATAGAGATTAAACAGAATTGGGCCGAATACTGTGTCTTGTGGGATACCATTATTGATATATTATGCCTAAATCATCACGTACTTCTGTAAAATGTAGTTGATTTGAAAAATATGTTTTTTATATTCTAAAATATACAAAAACACACACAAAGACGTAGATTGCTTTCATCTAAACCATTAGTATTTTGATAGACATTAGGTAATAACTTGTAATGAGTAATAACTTGTTCTGTAAAGACATGTTTGTTATGGATAAAACGTGGTTGTAGATGGTTTGAATTTTTCTCGGGACAGAATTTTTTCAATTTTTCGAATAAATTATTTTCACTCTGGGAGTTAAAAAATAATTTTCATTCCAAAAGATTTAAGAGATCTATCATTAAAACTATATTGTTTATTAGGTACTTTCTATAAATTTAACAGTTTGGTGTTTTAATTTTTAAACTTTTGAACTCACCTCTGGAGCTGTTGGTGTTAAGGGCACTCCCGGTCTTGGAGCCCCTATGCACCTGTTGAGGTCCGACCGACATTCGTCCTAAAATAAAAAAAACAATTATTAATTTTTGGTATATTATTCAGATTTAAGTATATAAACAAGGTGAACATTTTGAAGAGATTTTGACGACGTCAAATAATATACAGGGTGTCTGTAAAAGGTCTTTACAAAAACATACCACATATTCCTTAGACCAAAATAAGTTGATTTAAGTAAAATTACCTTAGTACAAAGTTGCTTCGTTTGGGCTCCAGAGGGCCTTGAAGTTACAATTTTTAAATCGTTTTTCCCATATAAATTTAAAACGGCATATGCGATTTGATTTGAAATTTGGTATATTGGTAGAGTTTTATGTGGCAAAAAAATGGTATTAAAATTTTGTCCGATAATAATACATAGGCGTAGAACTTGATTTTTTAAATAATTGCACCTTGAAAAATTATACGCCACTGGAAGAAAAGGAGTTTGAGTATGAAATTTAGATTGCGCAACTCATTTACTTTAAAAAAGGTACTCTTGATAAGACTCGATTACTCTCATGGTTTTGGCGAAATTTGCATTTTAGTAATTTTAGAACATAAACAATAAATATTAAAATACAAACTTTGTCAAAACCATGAGAGTAAATCGAGTGTTATTAAGGGTACTTTTTTGTAGTAAATGAGTACCCAATTTAAATTTCATACTCAAACCCCTTTTTTGCCATTGGCGTAGAATTTTTAAAGGTGCAATTATTTAAAAATCAAGTTCTACGCCTATGTATTATTATCGGACAAAATTTTATACGATGAAAAACATAAAAATGTACTTTTTTCATATCTTCTTCAACACCTCTAATCGAGACTTTTAACAAAAATACTCGATTCTTGCCATGTACAATCATAAAGTGCTTAGAGAACAATTGCTATATCCATACCATAAGAAGCCAGTACAAGAATTATTAGTCCATGATCCTCAAATTCGTTTGGGTTTTTGTCGATTTGTTAATATGCAAAGAGAAAGAGATCCAAACTTTGTCAAGAAGGTTCTCTTTACCGATGAAGCGGGTTTTACAAGAAGAGGTATAACTAATACCCATAATGAACATGTTTATGCCGTTGAAAATCCGTATGCAATAAAGGTAAACCATTTTCAGCACGAATTCAAAATTAATGTGTGGGCTGGAATAATTGGTAATTTCATTGTTGGTCCTGTCATACTTCCACGAAGAATAACTGGACAAAATTATTTGGATTTTCTACAAAATACATTGCCAGAATTGTTAGAAGATTTACCTCTCCAACTTCGACGAGATATGTGGTTTATGCAAGATGGAGCTCCACCACATTTTTCTTTAAACGTTAGAAACCACTTAAATGAACAATATCCACACAAATGGATAGGCAGAGGTAATGACGCACCTGTAAACTGGCCACCACGTTCCCCAGACCTAACACCGATGGATTACTTTTTATGGGGACATCTGAAATCCATGGTTTACAGGGAACCTGTAGAAAATGAGAAACAACTCTGGCAACGTATTCAAGATGCAATAAACAATCTTAGAGGTGATGAAGAAGTTATGGAAAGGATACATTTTAATTTTCTTCGACGTATAAATCTTTGTATGCGTGAAAATGGTGAACATTTTGAACAATTTTTGTAAAATCTCTATTTTGATTATGTTGTAAATAAATATTTTTGTGAAACCTATACACTCTAAATTATTAAAACAGAAATTTAGCGAAAACCATGAGAATATTCGAGTCTTATCAAGAGTACCTTTTTTAAAGTAAATGAGTTGCGCAATCTAAATTTCATGATCGAACTCCTTTTCTTTCATTGGCGTAGAATTTTTAAAGGTGCAATTATTTAAAAATCAAGTTCTACGCCTATGTATTATTATCGGACACAATTTTAATACTATTTTTTTTGCCACATAAAACTCTACCAATAAACCAAATTTCAGCAAAATAGCATATGCCGTTTTAAATTTATATGGGAAAAACGATTTAAAAATTGTAACTTCAAGGCCCTCTGGAGCCCAAACGAAGCAACTTTGTACTAAGGTAATTTTACTTAAATCGACTTATTTTGGTCTAAGGAATATGTGGTATGTTTTTGTAAAGACCTTTAACAGACACCCTGTATAAATAACATAAAGAATGTGTTACAAAAATCCTTAGTAAGGTTATTAGCAGATGACACTTATATTTATCACGGCTAGTGATTTTGAGAAAGTTGTTTGCACTTTAAACAGTGTAAATATGCAAAAAACAAAACAATAAAACAACATGTAGACAACAAAATATTGTATATTAAACCAATAGCTAAATAAACGTATTCAATGATTCATTCATCATTTGATCACCAATTTATAATGAATGTGCTTCACAATTTCCACATTTACCTGAGAACATTACAAGTTTAAGACTTTCGTTGATCTAATTCTGGTTATTATAAATTTAAAAAGTTCTACGATTAATCAATTTTATATAATTTTACATGCCACTGTTCCTTAAAAACTTTTCGTTAACTATTGCATGTAGTGCCAATATAGTATCAATGCAGAACCACCTAATTTTATTTATACACCTAATTTAAAGTATTTAAATCATCTTTCAGGCCAGATGATGCCCATAGTGCCGAAACCGGTTGTCTAATAAGTTTTGTCAATAAATAAGATTTGTGGTACGGATTTTGTTTCCTTATCTCATTAAAAATATTTATTAAATACGAGTATATGTGAGCGACTATATTATTAATATGATATTTCAGGAGTTGAATACCCTTTTCTATTTATTAAATTATTAATAATCGGTTTTCCGATAATTTAATGTTCAATAGAAGGGGACGAAGAATAATATATTTTAATATTATAAAATGTTTACTACTCAAGAAAATTTTTGCATTCCATGCTTTTATCTTTATGATAATTATTTTTAATGTGTACCTTATTAAAGTATACTAATTATTAATTTTGCATTTCTATTGATAGCAAAATTATCTGCCACAAAAATTATTACATTAATTGATATCGGATTGCAGCCTACGGTTGCGAATACACACAATTTCGGTGCTCTGTTATAATTCTTCTAGGTTTTATGTTTATAAGTTTATAAGTAATCAAAACTGTTTTTTCATAAACAAATTTAGTGCGTGTGTGGCGACTGAATAGTAAAACAAAAAGTTTAAAGGAAGGAACTGTAAATAGTGTATTTTCTGTGAACTCTTGTAAGCACAACAAAAACTCATTATTATCTGGCTATAACCTTCAAAAATCAATCATACCCAAATGTGCGAATTGCACATACTTTGATTACTATACGAGGCAACAGAGAGGTCCGACACGCCCAACATAGGGCGCGGCCATTTTGATCCCTGTGACACAGTTTACAGCTAAAGAATCAGATCGCTCACTCTGCGTCGGCACTTTTGATCTCAATGTTTTAGTTTATACACTGTGCAACTCGGATAATACAATATATGACAACCGCCTATAATAAAACAGCAGTCTTCTGCGTATCCTGAATTTGTATCCCTGGAATGGATGTTATTTTGGAACTTTCAACCGGTCCGAGTGAGTTACTGATTCTTTAGCAATAAACTGTGACTCCAAAAATAATATTCACTGACACTGACAGCAGCAAGCAAAATATCAGGTGCATTTTAATCATCCGCTTTTGCTTCCGGAATTGTCGGTTTTGTCGTTTTAACCTGTCAGATTAAAACAAGAAAACCGACAATTCCTACGCAGAAGCGGATGATTAAAACGTACCTATTAAAAATATTGCGCCAAGATGTAGGCAACACGTAATAAGGGTTCAAAATGGCGGAGTTTTCTATCTACTTCATATACTTTGATTACTATACGAGGCAACAGAGAGGTCCGACACGCCCAACATAGGGCGCGGCCATTTTGATCCCTGTGACACAGTTTACAGCTAAAAAATCAGATCCAATCAAAGTATGTGGCGAATTGTACGAAGCAGTGTGACGGCTGCAAACATTCGATACATATGGAATGCGGTCTATCTTTGACCTTCCGAGTAACTAGACAGAAAATTCGTGGTCTCAACATTTTATGTAATAATTGATCCATCAAACTTGGTAACTTTACAGATTTAAAGAAACGTATAACTGACTTTAAGCTTGATATACCCGGTGACACTCTTTTAAACGACACCATTAAACTCCTATTAAAACTTGAAGAGCTATCTGTTCTTGGTAACACTATTATTATTGGAGACTTCAATTTTCCTGATAGTTTTTGGCCCATTATGAATGTTCCCAACGGCAACAACTCCAAAAATCTTTTTATGAACTTTGTTCAAAATTCCAACTTATCTCCACTGATCCTTCAACACTCAAGCTTAACAAATGACACACAATTATTGTCTTCCCTAGAGGTTAGTAGTCCTATTGGAAAATCCGATCACGCAGTAATAACGGCACACGTACAATTTAATCTACCCTTTCCTGGATCCGAAGAAACTTTCTCAACGTTAGACATCATTAACTAAGGTTGATTTTAATGATTGAAATAACTTACTGCTGGACTCTAATCATTGTCCATCTATGTGGAACAAATTTTCTGAGAAAACATTATTAAACGTAGAGTTTATCGCAACAAATTAAAACCCTGGATCACTTGGGAACTATTCAAAATGATAAAACAAACACAATCTATGGAGAAGTTATAAAAACACATAAGACCACGACGATTTCATCTGCCACAGAAGATTTTACAATCAACTCAAGCGGCAACTGTCTTCCACGAGACAGTCTTACGAAGAATCAATCGCTAACAGTGACAATACTAAAAACAACTATAAATACATCCATTATTTTCTCTCCTTCAAAGTGGCTACTCCTTTTCTTTAAAAAACTGATGGAAGTTTATTCTCCCCTAATTTCGAAACAGCTGAGAACTTATCGCACTCTTTCTGCAATGCATACACCATCGAGCCACCAAAATATGTACTACCCCATATTATCACCACACGTAATTTAGATTCACTTGAAAATATATTTTTTACTGAAACCCAAATTACAATAAT